CCAATGCCTGACATTGATATAATTTTAAATCCAAAACCCCTAACGCCCCAATTTTTTCATGAAATTGTCAACAAAGGTATAATTGATCAAAATAATGAGCCTAATCATTAATACTATTTAAGAAATTTAGCGAAATGACAAAAAACCAAACTAACTTTCTTAACGATTTCATTAAGGGAATCGACTAAATGTGATGTGTACGGACAGGGTCGCTTTCAAACCACCACCATTCCGCAAGTATGGGCTAAATTTAACTGATTTTTTTGTAAACAAATCAAGAATAAACATATGTTCTGCTAACAATGCAATCATGTGTAAATATTTTTAAGAGACCACATTATAATGTAAAGAAACTCAAACTGTCAGCTACTGGAGCACTGTCAGCTACTGGTACATTTACCTTACAAGATTTGAAGAAAATCGTCGGAGCCGTTTTCGAGATCTTTCTGCAAGCAAGCAAGCATTCATACAAGCAAACATTGCTCGTATTAGAGTATAGGATTTAAAAGCAGATGTTTACTTTCACCAACTGTTTTGTACGTTTGAATAACTACAACATTCTGTAGCATTAGTCATGATTTGAAATAGTGCCACAGTGTGTCTACAGATTGCAGCACAGAAAACTATTTTACTTTTGAATAAGTCCAAATGTATTAAACCCCAATCGCAGCAAACCTGTGCACTTAACAACGTTTAAATTCTCCAATGTTAAATAGTAAAGTATAAATACAAAAACCTTTATAAAAAGTACTGTATTTTAAACAATAAAAGGGATGACTTTTTTAAATGTATGACAACAGCTAATTTGCAACCAAAAGGTGAATGAGCGTAGCGAATGAACATCAACCTGTAGGCGAGTAAGCGTAGCGAAAGAGCTAACCTGAAAACAAGTGAGCGCAGCGAACGATTTCCAACCTGAAGGTGAGTGAGCGTAGCGAACGAACTTCAACCAGGACGTGATTGAGCCATGCGAATACTTATGAAGTTAAGCGGGGCAAAGCCCGCGGGTACAGCTAGTCCTATATATAATACGAGTAAAGTTTGAATACTTGTCAATTCGATCTGGGAATCGGCTCTAACAAAAACGTTTATATTTACGGAATAACTAAGTTCTGTGTCAAAAATAAGTTCTAGACCAGTGGTATAGCCAGGAAAAATCTATTTTCGCCATAATATGAGTACAAACTTTTGAAAATTTAACATGGGCCTTATGAGAAAACATTCCGCCATTATTGTCATTTTGTTTACATTTTAAGACATAACGTGACGTTCTGTACCCACGGGCATCTCAGCTTGCGCATGCACATATGGCCTATTTACAAAAGACAGTACAAAAGAAAAGGAGTCCGATGAATACCATTAAGCGTTGATTAACAATACACCGATTGGCATAATTTCTGGTGGCCTTACTGAATTATTCCAAGCAGATTATTTCGTTTAATTGTTGTTATTAGTTTTGTGGTAAATATTATTCCGCAGTGTGGTAACTGTTTATGACGATTAGATTAAGGTATCTACAATCCTAAAATGCTATGGGAAGGGAGGGAAACAGGTCCGCGACGTAGGAAATGGTGAAGGAAGTAGTAAAGGTAAGTAGTACGGAGTGTGGGAAATGTTTATGACGATTAGATTAAGGTATCTACAATCCTTAAATTCTATGGGAAGGGAGGATAACAGGTCCGCGGCGAAGGAAGTGGTGAAGGAAGTAGTAAAGGCGAGTAGTCCGGAGTGTGGGAACTATTAATGACGATTAGATTAAGGTATCTGTTATCCTAAAATGCTATGGGAAGGGAGGGAAACATGGTCCGTGACGAAGGAAGCGGTGAAGGAAGTAGTAAAGGTGAGTAGTCCGGAGTGTGGGAACTGTTAATGACGATTAGATTAAGGTATCTGTTATCCTAAAATGCTATGGGCTGGGAGGGAAACATGGTCAGTGACGAAGGAAGCGGTGAAGGAAGTAGTAAAGGTGAGTAGTCCGGAGTGTGGGAACTGTTTATGACGATTAGATTAAGGTATCTGTTATCCTAATAAAGGGCCATTTTCATAATAAAGTACAAACTAATATTACTAGTAAATCAGCTGATCGCCCAATGCAAATCTAATGGAAATTACAAGTCATAAGTTGTAACTTGTACTCAATTACCTACTGAAAAATCTATTTTGGTAATTCTTAACCATATTTTAGTAGCTTAGGCATAAAAGATTATGTTTAAATCTGTAAAAGGTATTTAACTTAGTATAGTTAACCAACATCTTGCAGTAACTGGGCCATCATGAACCAGAACCAGACTATAAACTTACTGTAAGTTTACTGGACAGTGTTTTGGCTTTAGTGGAGCTGGTAACTGGTAAGAATTATTCAGTGTTTTCTGAAGCTCATTAATAATAAATAAATTAGGCTGGTCTTTGGTGTTTAAGTGCTTTCTGGCAGATAGATTCTATCAGCCAGAGACTTTATCTCCCTGTCAGACGGTCACATAAGGTGGAATACGATTGCTAGGCAAAACAAACTTGAATATTATTGAAGGCATATTAGCTTTAACCATTGACATAACTAGTTATTATCAATTATCAATTCTTGAGATGGGGACGCCACCTAGGTGGATATTTTAACCCAAATATGAGCGAAGGATAAGTGTAGAATGATGTGAGATGATCTGTGTAGCTTTGCTACTGACTAAGATCAGTGGTTTCATTAGTCAGGATCATTTATTTAAAGCCCAATTATTCTATAAGTTAGTCATTTTAAAGCTGTCACCAGTTTCTTAATCAAGTTAGTGAGCCACCGGCCACGAAATTGCGCTGATATAAATAACTGATTTCCGTCAAATAAATGCATCGGCCTACTTTTTTACCAAGTCAAAGTGATAGGCCAACTTATTGTAAGCTATACAGTCGACTCTCGATAACTCAAACTTCAAGGGAACGGCTGTTTTTATTTTTGTTTTGTGTACGGCAAACACCATTTTACATTTCACATTGCAATTATATACTGTAGAGATGGCCATAAAAAGATGACGTAATAATACATGCGACCATTACAACTATCTGCTATACCTACACTCAATTAACAAAACAAAGTTGAGAAAATAAATATATGATAAATATCACAGCAAGTGGCAATAAAGACTAGTTAACATGCAGGAACAATAATACAATTAATATTAACGAAGTAGAGACTAAATATAAGCAAACCCAAAATTATGATTATTATGTTTTCTTCGAGTTCAAGTTACGTATAGTTCGAGTTATAGAGGTAATATTTCACTAAATTCGACTTACAGAGGTAATTCGACTTACAGAGGTAATTCGACTTACAGAGGTAATTCGACTTACAGAGGTAAACTAAAATAAAATTTGAGTTATAGAGGTACAAATAAACGATGTTTTTTATTCCCTACATCCTTTAAAACGTTTGGCAGACAGTTGGACAATTCATCAGCGACATGTCCAGACCGGTTCAGCTAGGTTCGAGTTAGCGAGGGTTGATCTGAAAATTTCGAGTTGTTGAGGTAATGTATTTAAAGACTTCGACTTACCTACTAAACTTTGAGTTATAGAGGTAATTTTTCTATCACTTCGAATTATAGAGGTAAAATTCGGGTGAAAAATTAATTCGAGTTAGCCTACGTATGGTTTTTTTCGACTTAGGCAGATTTTGTCAAGGGAACAGAAAAACATTCGAGTTATCAAGGAATTCGACTTATTGAGGTTCTAACTTAGTTATCGAGAGTCGACTGTAGTATCTTTATGTCACCTTAACTAACTGAGTAGCAAAATAAAAGGATGAAAATAGAATTCTAGACACCAGCCTATTAAACTTTCTCTTTACCAGCCTATGTTAATGGCCATTAAGCTGCATTGTAAAAACAATTTGTGAAAGCTTGTCTGTATGGATGAGGGAATGTCTCACTTCAGTCAATGGTATTAGTTAAAAAAAATATAAACAAAAATTTGTTCTTACCCTTACAATAAGAATACTACTTACTTTTACTTTTTTATCGGGGTGGGGACCGCGTGTTCTGTTGGACTGCAGAACCCTGCATTACAGCCCAAAAGCAATTTTATTCGGTACATTGATGATAGTAAATCTTTGTTTACTTAATAAGATAATAAAAAATTTAGATAGTTTTCAGTTTTTCAAACTTCTTTGTTTAACTTAATCGAGTTTAAATTTTCAAAAACAATGCAAGTAAAATGTGGCTTTCAATACTTAAAAGTGCTTTTGGGCTGCCCTCTGCATTTTTGTTTCAATGAGGTACATATCTCTTTTACATTTAAATAAGTGGGAAAACAACATGCATTATAACAGGCAATAACGACACTACAATAAATACTTTATGACATAACAAATAACATCTTAACAGTTACTGGACTTGACATGCAATAATTATCAAAATTTTGGGACCACATACATAACACAAACAGGCATATCTGAGAAAACATGCATCAAATAAATATTCCATCCATTAAATAGGCTACTTTATAGTACAAGTACACTGTACAGTCTACTCAGTGATAACAACAACTATAACAATAATTATCTGCCGCGTTTCAGTTCGGATGTTCCGTGTTCCGTTCCAATTGTTCCAATCACTGAGCTAAAATTATAACTGGAGGTAGCACTGCCATGGCAGAAGTCTGTCAAAAGCGAGTCGCTGATTTTGTTAGGTTGGTATAGCAGTAAGTTTTCTTACCATAGCAATAACATGGCTTCTTATAACTAGGTTGTATAGCAGTGAGTTTTTTTGTCATAGCAATAACATGGCTTCTTATGGACACCCACCTCACGCAAACATGGCGGCTGGCGACACGCATCTTTGACATTCAGTGCTACCTCACCTCCAGTTAGAATTATATAGCTCAGTGGTTCCAATCAGATACCAATTCCACTATCCCGGGTGCGGTGGTGGGGGGTTGGCGAGGTTCCGACTGTTCCGAGTCCTGTTTGAATGGAGTCGTTTACTGTACTGTTGTTGTTGTTGTTAGTACTGTTACTGTTTTGATAGGCAGGGCAGGAAAGAAGTTTTACTAATTACTAGTACAGTGATAAAGTTAATAGGTGAAACGAATAGTGCTTAATTTACAACGTAAATAAGACTCAACAACTTTCCTTACCATAGTATACTGTAGGCCTGGTCAGTCTTTCGATCAAATCGCAAATCGCTAGTTAACTTAGGCTTATATTATTGTATTGCAATTTTTTAGGTTACCTTTGATGCCCATGTAAACACCGACTTAGTATGATGTTTATTTAACCTTTTAGGATTGGACGGTGCTCGGCTGCACTTTACTTTACGTCCTACACTCCTTCGAATTAAAATATCGGTTATTTGATTGTTTCATTCGATATATCGTTTGGTTAGTTAGGTTAGGTTAACCTTACCTAACTAACCAAACGATATACCTTATCGAATAATCAATATAACGATCGATATTTTCATTCCAATGAGTGTAGGTCGTAAAGTAAAGTGCAGCCCGGTGCTCATTAACTTATCTATTTGCAGAATGACTATAATAAGCTAGTAATAACTTATGGGTGCTAAACTTTTACAATTTAGCCTACTATAATTTAAGATTTAAGTACCTAGGCCTACCTTCAAGTCTTTTTCAAACTTAGATTAGGGCTAACTTAATCTTACAAGATTACTCTCCTAAACTGTTCACATGATTTGGAAGTTTAACTTAAATTAATCTTCACTAGAGGTCGGCCAGTGGTCGAAAACTCGATCAAAGTTATCAAATGTATGGACTTCTCTATTTTTACTCCACACTGTAGCCTACCTAACTAAAACATGTGATTGGAATTTCTTCCATTTGTTTTGATTTTCTGTTTATATTTCGTTGTTATTTCGTCACCAGCATGGCAACCCATATGGCCCGTGTTAATTTTTTAAAATTTTAAATTCATTTTTTGTAGTTATCGTTGAGCCTAAGTATCTATAATATTAAAACGTAATAGGGGTTTTTTATTTCACGTTTCTGAATCAACCACTTGACGGATTTTCATGATTTTTGTGTTGAAAGAAAGATAATTTTGAGAACTAGGGAATGTCGTAGCCATAATTTTGGTTTAGGGTCCCAGTTGTTAAGAAATTAAGTTTTAATTTTGAAAAGTCTAGCAGCCGACGCTAAGATTCTAAACTAGCCTTTGGTATGATATAATTTGCTTAACACAACAGCTGTAAACATTCAGCGTTTGTAACACAAATTTAGCATTTGGATAAGATTAAAAGACATACTAAGGGTTGACTTATTTATAGGCCTAGCCTACTATGTGTAATGCTAATCATTGATACGCTCAATCCTTCGATAAGAGGATGTCAGATTATTTAAATATACATAGTAAAATACTAGGTAGGATGTTCAAATTATTATTTTAACCCTCCGAGTGTTCCTTGTTTTGGCCCTAATGTCTGCCTATTTTTTGCTCATTTGCAAGGTTTTATTAAAACGGATCTGAGAAGCTTGAAAACAATGTTAATTATACTGTTCTATATACCATTTTGTTTGGAAAATCATGGGCTTCAATATTATACATAAAACATAGGGAACATATGTTTCAAAAAATTTTTTTAGGTAAAAAAAAATACTTTGGAAAAAAAAAAAAAAAATAAATAAGTTCGCGCTCAATGAAATTGTATAAATTATAGGCCTATAAATATTTGAAAATAGCCAATTTGTTCTAAATTTTATGAGGATTACAAATAATAATATAAGGAAGTAGATTTCCAAATAAATAAGTTATGGGCAAAAAACAGATTTCGGTACATAGCGTTTAGCTAAGAATGCATAGCCTAACCATAGCAAGGAATCTGGCTGATAATTTACATCAATATCACTACCTACTTCTTCAGGATCATCAACCAGCCCTTCAAAATCACTTAAATCTTCTTATAATGCACCACGTAGGCTATATCACTACTTTTGATTTTTAACACTAAAACAATGATAAACGTAAAAAAACACATCAGTCATCGGTGCAAGGTTAACAAAGCTCATTGTTGATGTTAGCCTCCGGATTACGTTGAATATAAAAATTGGTGTAAATACCTGCTTCTTGTAATCCAAATTGTTGCTGTTATGACGCAACTAGTTTCGACTTATCACGAAGTCATCTTCGGGCGTCCAGGGGATGTCAAATCACTTCATCAGAAGGTCGTCAATACACACATACGTTCATACACGAACATGGTCACGGTTACGAAGAAAAACGCAGACACGAACATTGAAACGAAAAAAGTACGATTTAACGAGTAAAAGCTAAAAATGGTAACACCGGTGAGGATTATGCGTCACGGCCGGATGGATGTAGCGCCTAGACTGCCGGTCATTGTGGTCGGTTGGCGATGTGACGTCATTCCTTTGTTCTTGTTATCAGTCAGCTGTCCCCATTCATCCCCGACTCTCTCACAAGTACCTTAATGGCCGTGTCGTGGCCCGAAGATGACTTCGTGATAAGTCGAAACTAGTTGCCTCATAACAGCAACAATTTGGATTACAAGAAGCAGGTATTTACACCAATTTTTAACCAAGCTGTTTACAAATACGCATGTCAGCTGTCTGCTACAATATTTTCGGAACTAAAATGAAAAGCGCTTAGAGACAGACCTCCGGAGAAAGCTCTGAATCTGCAAAATAAAACGATACCTAACTCGATCCAGTTCAATCCGATTTTGTCAGTCATAGAGCCTTCGCCGTAAACAGTGTTTGTGAGTTGATACATCGACACAAAACACTACACAAAGTGTGTTATGTGTCGACGCATCGACAAATAACACTCGGAGGATTAAGTAACCTTTGTAATCTTTGGTTTGTTTTAGCGCAGTATAATTTGTTTTAACTAACAGCTGGTTAAATATAAAAATGCTCTATGGAACTATGAGGTTATTTTATTTACTCAGATTTTGTCATTGATTAGCCTATAGGAAATAAGTAAGATTAGTAGACCACCGAGACAAGTAATACCATCGAAGTATACAAGTCGAGGCTCTGTACACGAGTCTTATAAAAATGATATGCAAATTATTTTACTGCTCAACTTTTTTAGAAAAGGGTAGAAAAATCACAATTTTTACATGTTTTAATTCATCTTGGTGGCTTTTTGTTTACAATCAATGTTTTTGAATGATTAAACTTTGTTTGGATTAGGCCCGGGGATATTGATGTCATAAAGAAGGAGATCAAGAATCATCAGGAATACGATTTTAAATTACCACCACAACCTCAGATGGGTTTTATCCAAAGATATACAGATGAGGAATGGCATTAAGATTGAACACAACGTCATCATTGACCTAGGATACTGCAATTATTAGACTTACCATCCTTTTATGAAATCTAAAAAGTTGTTTGGCTTGTGTTTAGTTGTGGTTACGTTTGGAGGCGCTGGATATTTTATAGTTTAAATAAATGAATATGGGGAATTACGATGTACATTGATTCAATGAGGACAATTATCAGGATATTAGAACTGACAACGGAATGGATAATAAACATAGACAATTAATTACGTCACACTAGCTTTACTAGTGTGTTTACGTTTTAAATTCCTTCAACATGTGACCAGTTCTTTTTTTTTTCAAATGAATATTATTTTATTAATCGTTTCAGCTGTTTACAAAACAAACTATATGTTGTTGTTTTTACTTTTCTTTGTTTACAGTTATTTATTTAGCAATTAATCCACTAAAATCGATATAAAGGATATGTGTGGACGATTTGTTTAATGATGCCAGGACACCAACTTTATAATTATGTGTACTGTGAATTTTATTGGATGTTTTCGTTTTGTTTTAGGGATTTTCTATTCAGACCTACTGGAAATTGTGTATAGTATGAATAATTGTATTGTGGTGATATTGATTATGGAAGAGGCAGGTATGCGATGGAATTGGAAGGTGATATCGTTGACTAGGCCTATACACTTCTCAATTGAATACTCTTTCTACTGTAGGCTGCAATAAAATTTGTCTTTATACGTGTAAGCTAGCTGTTCTGAATTATACACAGTTTTAACTGACTATTCCCGTACGTAGGACGGGCTAACACCTTGTTTTAATTTATAAAGGAATTCTGCACACCAACAGGAAAATAGCTTTCCAACAGTATGCGTAGATTTTCCCTACGATGCACACGAGATGAGAAAAAAGTTTTTTAAAAAACATGCTTGCCTATTAATATATAGATAGTCTCTAAGCTAAATAAGGATAAGTTATCTTACCTAAGCCAGTCAGGCGATAGAGCAGGATAGTGGTGTTCACTCTGCAAACGCTATGGTTTTGATGATCATGTACAGTTTATTTTATTCCATTCATAAAATAAAATTATAAATGCCAAATATTCTAACAAAAGATGTACAATTAAGAAGAAATGGCATTCAAAGCAAAATCTTTGACAAAAAGTGAAAGTTACCGATGGGATTCAAACCAGGGACTTCTTGCATATCAGACAAGCACTCTGTCCACTACACCACGAACACCGATGGCTGTATATCGTAGGTATCGTTGTGGTGATGGCGTTCCAGGCCCCCACAACCCGGTGACGTCAATGCCGGACGCGTATCCTCTCTGTTTGATGATATTCTCCTCTATTGAAATCTGCAACATTGCTTTTCAGAACTTGATTTTGTATAAGACATAGCCTAAGTTAAATTATCGGCAGAATAAACTTACGGTAAGAATTTTAACCCCAATAGATAAAGCAGCAGTGATCACTCTATCCTGCCAAATGTTAAGCTAGAAAGAAACCTCAAGAGTCTTTTATTTTGGAGTAACATCGTTAGTAGAGTGCAGTAAGCCGGGGCATAGAATTACATCTTAAATGAAAACTCACATCTTACTCTTTGGCTACCAGGTAACTTAGCCTAGTTTTGTTATTTTCCGTCGTGAAATTGCCAAGCGAATATAGCAGTGTTGGTCACCCTGCTGCCAGCACTATTTAGCATATGGCCACTGCGTCTACTGCCGGGCGAAAAAATGAAGTTATTTTTGAAATGTCATAACTTCCCTTTGTAAATATGATAAAACGACTTTCCTGTTACAGAGAACATTCATTATTACCGGTAGGCCCATCGATGACTTTTTCGATATAGGTATCGAAATTTTACTTTTTGATCCAATATAGGTATCTAAAAATCTATATATATATATATATATATCGATATTAGTGGATTAAATCATATCAGCTAACATCTACGATAAGTTAACTTATTGTTCAGTATCAACATGAACAATTAATATATTGAAACCAATCTGTTCTAAACTAATCTAACATAACTAACCAAAGTTGCTCTACTATTTCCAAATCCCGTTTGATATTCCCCTCATGCCTTTTCTGTTATCAAACAGAATTTTGAAATAGTATAGCAAGTTTGGTTAAGTAATGTTAGGTTAGCCTAGTTTAAAACAGTTTCATTTCTTTAACCCTACATATTATTTTTGCCTAAACAAGAACAGTTGTCAATTTGTAATTTAAATGCGTTTTGAAAATAATAAAACAGAAGGATGGATTGTAAAGGAAAACAAAAAATATTGATATAGCCTACAGAAAAAAATCATTGATAATAATGAATGTTCCCTTTAACAGGAAAGTACCGATAAAACCTCAATTTTTGTTTTGTTTTGTAACTTAGAAGAATTTTTGTACTAAACTCCATACTTATGTACCGTAATAATATTCAATTGTAACTTAATTTTTCAAAACGACTTATATTAAATTTTTGTATTTAAAAATTATAAAACTTGGTTAAAACTACATTTCACCACATTAACTTATAATATATCCAGATTTAGCATTTTATTAAGCGTACATGGACCCATTCCCTTTCATAAAAAAAAGCTATACACGATTAAAATAAAAATGTAAGCAAAACTGCCATATTTACTATTGTTGAGCTCTGCACAGTAAGTTAAAATATACTGAAAGCGCTTACTGTTCTGCTAACTTAACCCTTCAACTGGCACAGCGACTATAATAGTCGCGGTAGTCAGTGTCTGTAGTGGCAGCGACTATAATAGTTGCATTTTGCAAGGTTATTTTAAATTGCATATAAACAGTTAAAAACGATCGCTAACTTACATAAATTGTATACCAATCGAAAGATGAGGTTCTAAACTTTCATTTTATTACATAAATAACCTTTATAACACTGATGGATCAATATAACTTAGTGATAAAGTGGAAGAAAATTTCGCGCGAAGTCAGTTTCTCTATATAAGCATCACAAAACTACCGAAAATGGATATTTTCAACAAATAATAGCAAGGGGTATTTTTAGTCTACGGAACAGCGGGTGGTACCACTGCATCCGGCAGTTCATTTTCTATATCGAGATATATAAATTATATCGATATCTTTATAAATAACTCAAATAGAAAAATAATACCTCAGCCACCTTTTTACGTGTATTTGAACTGGCAGCGCGACTATTATAGTCGCGGTAGTAATTCACATATGTTTCAACGAAATGTATAACTTTTGTTATAATGACATATACCATCTGATAGCCCATGAAATTCTGTGCATAGTGGACTTTTGTTGCCGTATGTTGCACAACCTGTACCAACGTCATCACTTGTTGTTTACGTGCAATTTATCTTCTTCACCTGTTCACAAGGTTATGGGAATTTCACCGTTTTTTAGTTTTTTTGGCCATAACTCAGCCAAAAAAAGTTATAAATTGAATGTTTTTACTTTTTTATGAACAGAAATAAATTGCTAACATTTTGTATATCTTGGATTTCATATAAAAAATTTTCTGCATTTGCAGCACAGTTTTGCTTTCAAATTTTCAAATTTGAAAATACAATTTTTTTTGTTTTTTTCTCTTTGTTTCAAAAATTATTCTTCCAACTACTTGCAGTTTTACCATTTTCAGATTCTTCACTATTTTACGAACAATTCAAGTATATGGTTCAAAAGGTTTACTTTATTAGTTCAATTTATATGAATTTTCAAAAATATGTCTGCAAAATCACTAAAATGGCCTTCCCACTACAGACTTTTCTATGTGCCAGTTGGAGGGTTAATTCATCACTTCTGTAATATATAGAAATAGGCCTATTGAAAATACCAAAATGTGTTAAGACCTGGGAAATACCAATAACTTAGCCTAACTTACCCAGTAAAACTAAAAATGTAGGACTAAAAAGGAAACACGTAGGCCTAAGCGTACTGTCGTTAGTAAAACGCAAACATTATGTACCACAAAGCTTACAAAAGAGCTTACACACGACATAACCAAACAGCAAACTAATAATAATCAATGATAATAAAGTGGGAGAACATTCTTTCCGCTAAATGACAAAAATCAGTTGACAAAAGAACATTGGAGCCAACTGTCTTGGGGCAGTACACAGTGTGGCGCCAACCACAAAGTCGCCTTGGCCATCTGTATAACCTCAGCAATTACTTCAACTGGTTCTACGAAGTTGACGCGTGTTTTTAAAACTCTTTGGCTTTAATTTGTGTCGTACGATAAACATCTACTGCAATGTTTGCGTTCGCTGCGGAGAACTGTGGATGCGATACTCCCTAGCGTGGATTAATGTCACACGCTAGTGAGTAGTACAAATATCCGCAGTACTATCCTTATAATTAGACCAATTTGTTAATTACAAGGCATGAAATGTGGTTCGGATTCGACTATAAATTGTAGGTCCCTTAGTTGCCATCGGCTGGATGGGCTTTTATTAACAGCTGTGTATAAGGAACATGCCGGCCTTAGTCACTAACATGACTACTACATCATTCCACTTATCGTACACTCCATCTCCATTCATACTGGCTTAAAATACCTAAATTTGTATGGTCGCCATTTCAGAATAAAGTATTGAAGTAAAGTATTAGCACTTGCCAATATGGTGCCGCTCCTCCCTCTCTGTGACGTCACCGCGCATACAGTCGAGCTTGCCGCCAAACACAACCAGCAAAAACTCGTTCTTTTGTGCTTCCGTGCCTTTGTACAGTTATATTTTTTGCGTGAAACTTGCATTGTTTTACTAAACATTAACTTCAAAATCTGAATAACTAAACAGTTTTTGATTCAAGACAAGTAAATTATTGGTTTATATCAACAAATATAGAGGAACTATCTTCTTAAGCCTACAATAATGAAACTTGAAAAAGTTACTATGCGAGGAATTGGGTTAGGAACTAACCTACTGTTGGGAAATCTTATTAAATCAGTTTTTATACTCCTCAGGAATCTAGGTTTCCTCAGGAATTGTATCAAAACACAACTTTTTAGTTCTACAGATGAAAAATAATTCAACACATTTCACGGCGACTCCCTTGATAGAAAATGAACTTTGCAAAACAAAATGATAACATTTTAAAAGATAATTCCCAGGCGTATGTCTACATCCTGTTACATCCTGCTGTAACTACATCCTGTTGTAACTACACCCTGTTGTTAGTTTTTCTCAAAATTAAGACCAATTATTCAAAAGGCATTTGAATAGAACTATAAAAAAGGCAAAGCAAAAAAGTAAACAGAAAATATGTTACAACAACTTTATAATAAGAAACCACACCCTCAAATTCTTTTCTTTATACTTATTTTGTTCCAATAAACACTTAATTTTACTTTACAGACAATATAAAATTAAACCATTCATCATTAAGATCAGAGACTCGACTAAGTGTATACTAGAGGACATAGCAAGGAGTACCGGTATAGCAAATAAGGTAAATCTTTAGTCTAAAGACTAGGCCTACAGCAAAAAATTTTTTTTTGAAATTTTGTTCTTAAGATAATCGTAGTTAGGAGTCACCTTAATTACTTGTTTTACAATAATTACAAATAATGTAGTGTTTAAAATCATAACATTTTTTTAAATATAATGACACAAACATGATGTTGCGGGTAAAACACAGATTTTATCACACGCCACTTTGTCATAAATATTAAACGACCTGTTGGTTTTATCCAACATTTTCAGACTAGTTATTGTAGAAGAACTTTAACACCCTTTTCTCACTAAAATTTTGTTCCTATCCAAAAAATTAAAAAAGTTCCTTGCTTAGTAACTTTTTGAAGCTCTATTACTTTTTTTTATATCCATTACCGTAACCTGCCCTCCAAATAGAGGAACTTTTGGTGTCCTCTGCAAACAATAGTGTGCAACAATAATTATTAGTAGTTAATCATTAGTATCGTGAATAATAGCATGATATTGGAGAGTGTCCTTTGCTATTTAAACATTTGATTAAGTATTATTTACAACATTTATTTTTTATCATAGGCTTTGAAAATATGTGTTTGCTTGCACTTGCAGCATTTATGTTGACAGTGAAATTTACCTGACATGTTTTTTGTATAAATTTCAGAAATTACACTTTGAAAATGTCTTCTTCACTATCATCATTGGCCCCTTTTGATCTTCACAAGCATTTGATCAATCAGTACATCTTGACAAGGAAAGGAGCAACAGCTCTCTTAAAACGGGATACGTGAGTACATAACAAAATTACATATATATATACAGGGTGTCCATGAAAAACGGTTCAGGACTTTAGGAAATGAACCCCCATACTAAAAGGAAGAAAAAAAGTTCATGTGAAGTTATGTCCGAAAATGCATATTTACCCAGCTATCCGCCATTTTGTTTTTTATAAAAAATTATTTAAAATTATCTGTAAAGTTTTTCATTTGATGATTATGAAATTTGGTACCGGTAATGATGTTAACACCCACAAGATCTATTGTAGAAAAAATATTTAAGTTGTTTCGATTGTAAATTTCAAAATGGCGGCCGTTTGAATTTTTATAACTTAACCCTAGAACACCAAGCCTCCTTAAAATCACATAGATACTAAGCATTCGTAATTTTTACGACGTGTTAATTTTTTTTTCTCGAACAGTTGTTTTTTTTTGTAAATATATATATTAAAATGTATAATAATGAGTTAAGATTGTTTTAAGTCTCTTTCTGTTACGATCTGGAAGGCTTTCAAAATATATAGCCTAAGCAAAACAATGTTAAGGTTAACATAAATAATAAAAATATATGTAAGAAAAGTTTTATTTTTACAAATACAATTTTTAAGTTATACAAAAATGATTTGGAAACTCGATTGTAAAGATAATAGGATGAAATTTTACAATTTTCTATTTTAGGCGCAAAGCTGAAAGTTGAACATCTAATAAATGGGTTATACCAATGGTAATATAAATATATATACATAAGTATAACAAATGAGAAATACAATATGGACTTTTCGCAATCACACTGGACACAACATGTTGCCTTATGTTCTGCACATATTGGCTGGTGGCAGTGGTTGAAGTGTGTAGTTGTCATTCTATGTTTGACTGATGGGCAGTAAAACACGTTTTCCTCGCTCCAGGAAGCGGTTGTCTTTCAGGATTGATAGGAATTCCTAGGAAATCAGAAATAATGTTCCGCAGATTGTGTTGTAGATATTTCTAGATATACCCAGTAACATTTGTTCTGGTGGCAGATTACGACTTCTTTGACAAAGATAAAATTTAGACAATATAATTTTAAATGTTTGAACATAACGCTCAGCTAGTCCATTAGATTGAGGTGAATGGTGAAAACCTGAGTTTGATTGACTTCCTCTCACAAAATCTCTCAATTCCTGACCACAAAATGGCGAACCATTATCACACACAATTGTGCGTGGAAATGAAAATCTAGAAAACACTTCTGCTAGATTATTTATAACAGCTTTGAAATCACGCCAGTTTTTTTTTACAAAGCACTCCACCCACTTAGGGTAAGAATCACACAAGATCAAATACTTATTGGCTACGAAAATCAAACAAATCTAGATGCACTCTTTCCCAAGGGTATTTTGACTTAGGCCAAGGTTGACGATATTGGTTACTACGTTTGTTTTGATGGGACTGACATATTTGACAGTTTGAAATGAATCGATATAGATCGCTATCAAGTGTAGGCCACCATATGTATGATCTTGCAAATAGTTTTGATCTAGTTATACCAGCATGGCTGAAATGAATCACATCTAGGACTTAACTTCTTAGGTTTTCAGGTATTACAATTTTATTTTCAAAAAACAAACAACCATTGTGAACACTCAAACAGTGGCTATTGTTAGAATACACTTTGAACTCACTGGACACTTTTTTTAAAACCATGTTGTTGGATTGGGAAAAGTAAAAATATTAAAATTTAAAAAATGAAACCATGGTAACTTGAGCAATAAAAACAATGTAATGAAAAAGTAAACAGAGAGGGAAAAACATATGACAAAAATACACACATATGATAGAGACAGTTCAAGGGAAAAAGTCTTCAAAGTCCTCAACATACTGCCTGCATTAAAGCATCGAAGGGCTTTAACAAAGAACCCTCAGTAATTGATTCCTGTAGAGACAATTGGTCAAGCAGGAGTGATTCGAAAGGAGAGTAGATCACCCATTAGCGGGGTTTTGTTGTGTGGTTTATTTCGGAAACATGTAACGCACTTGAATTTTTGGTCGTGGTTGTTTGTGTACATCAAATAAATTACGACCAAATAAGTAAGAGAAAAGTATTTGAATAAAAGAGTTAAGTTTTGTGTACAATCCTTTAGAAAAACAAAAACCAGACCAACTATAATGCGTTGCTATGACGTCAGCTGACGCTACAAATATAAAGTGAGTGAATAACGCTACGTGCACAAAGAATCTAGACGGATTGAGTGATCAGAGCTTGGGTGAGTTGAGGTCCAGAGTGGAGATTAAGGTTGTAAGTGAAGAGTCAGAGTGGGGAGACCAATGTAGGCTAAATATTGTGAAGTGTAGTTGTTCAGAGTCTTGGAGAAAGACGGAAGACTCAAGATGTTCCTTGGGAAAAGCTTGTAGAAGACGATCTGAGTTGGAGACCCATTTACATTTATCGAATCCTCCTCGTAACAGGTCCAATTGACCAATTGATCTTGAAGTTTCAAGGCCGTTTCTTCAGTATCTGCACCAGTGATGATGTCGTCATCGTAGGTCTTCGTTCTTAGTACTTGCGCTGCCTAGGGAAAGTAGTCACCATCGTCGTCAGCGAGTTCGTGAAGAGTATTTATTGCCAGGTAAGGAGACCTATTCATACCATGTGTCACGGTGTTCAGCTGGTAAGTAGAGAGTGGTTGAGAGGGAAGTTTCATGCCAAAGGAGTTGAAATTTTCTATCGTCAGGATGTATTTGGATCTGTCAATACATTTGACAAATATCACACGAAAAAACAATATTGTGCTTTCTAAAATGCATAAGTATGTCACAAATATTGGATTGAAGCTTTCGTACGTCATTGAGAGTAACTCCTGTGCTTGTTATTGCTCTAGCATCAAATACTGTTCGGAGTTTGGTTGTACTACTACTCTCTTTAAGAACCCCATTGTGAGGGAAAAAGTAGTGTGAAGAGGGAAGAAGGGAATCTTGACATATGGTCCAGAGAGATGTAATCCTGTATGAAGTCGTGGTAAACCTGAGAGAAGCGGGGTTGGACAGCAAATTTTCGCTCGAGAGAGTGGAATCTGCATTCAGCAAGCAATTGAGACGCTCCAAGAGGAGGGTAAGCTTCTTTGAAGGGAAGACGAACGATGTATCGTCCTTCAGAGTCTCTTGTGTGCGTGGACTGGAAGTTCGCGTCACAAAGTTCTTCTTCTTCAGTTTCTTTCGACAATTTGGAAGTTCTTCCTGAGTCCAGAAACCCTGAAGTTTGGAATGAAGTTCAACATCATTGGATGAATGGAGGGAGATGGCGTGACTGATGAAATTTGTAGATTGTGGCGTGGAATTTGTTGGTATTTGTCAGGGTGCAGAACCCATCACGATGTATCCAAAATGAGTTCCTATTACGTGGGGCATATTTGGCCGAGAGAGTAATGTTCATGAGTTAGTAACTTAGGGAAGAGAAAGCAACCAAGCACGATATCAATGCGTCCTGGCAGGTAAAATGTTGAATCAGCTAGACAAACGTTTAGTGAGTGATAACAGTTACCGGAACACGAGGCAAGTTGACAGTCACTTTGTCTAAAATGAGCATTGGATGTTGCGGAGATATGAGAAATCCAGAAAGAGTTTCAAGATTGAGGTAAGTTTGCCCGTTACTCTTAGCAGCATTTTGGCCAAGTCCAGAAAGTTGAACATTCGACTTGTAGCGTCAAGCGTTTAAAAGTTGAGCTGCTCGTTTGGTGATTAAGTCGTACATGGAGCCGGAGTCAAGTAAGGCACGGAACACATGAGATGTGCCTTGAACTGAAGTGACCTTTATCAAAAAAGTTCCTAAGAGTATAGTGGAGCTTTTAAAAGGTGACTGAGAGTGATCTTGTGAAGTTAAAGTCATTGAGGTTTGAGTAGGCTCATGTGGGTAACACACATTTGCATTGGCAGGCTTAAAATGATTTTGATCAACAAGAGGTGCAGGGAAATGTAAAAAAGTGTGATGTTTCTTGTTACATGTACAACATGAAGTTTGTGAATGGCAATCTTTGAGGTTATGATGGCCTAGACACGAGACACAGCGATGATTTTCTTTGACGAGGCTATGTCGCTCATGAGGAGATTTATTTTGGAACAAACTGCAGGCATAGATATTGTGTTCGTTTGAGTTGCATGCAAAACACTGCCAATGAGAAGGTTTTTTGATGCCTGCTGAATGAACTTAAAATCAAAAGTTTTAGGAGCCATTGTAGTAGTTGAACACAAAATTTACCAGCAGCACATACAATATAAAAAGGTCTTGAGCACACACAAAATCTCAGTATGAAGTCAAAAAGATGAATTGGGCATCAAAGATATAGATAATAAGTTTCTTTCAATATAGTCTTTAACTAGAAGGAGGCATGTATAGGCTATTAAGTGCACAAAAAGTTAATAATCAATTTAACTTTAACTTGAGCTTGTTTTGACTGACACTAAAAATAGTATTTTAAGTAAGTAAAGAGTTAATTTCATGCCATGATCTGAGTCCAAAAAGATTATAGCCTAATCAGGCAAACTTCAAAAACAACAAATTAGTAGTGGACTGTAAGGGAATTGAGTAGAACATTTAGATTATAAATGGGGTAATTGAGCGGAGCGAGCGAAGCTCTTTGAGATCGGACCTTATGCAAACTATGTAATCAATTAACTCAAAAACGGCTGAACATACAGAATCCATATTTACCAAGGTTATTTCGACAAACACTGTTCATGTTACTGAACAAACAAATTTCAATGTGATAATGTCTGTACACTTTAAGGCCGACATAAAATTTCCAATGTTTAACATTATCTTTATGGGTTGCTACGATGGTTACGAGATAACAACGTAGATGTAAAGAAATAATCGTAGCTTAGGCTACTCGACATTGTGTACCCACGGGCTCCTCAGCTTGCACATGCGCAGATTGCCTAGGTACAGTTCCTGGGGTAACTGCTTGTGTAATAGCTTCACTGTATTTCTGTCTTGGACTGGTTAGATAATAGTTTCAATTTCAAAGTTGAAGCT